GATGAAAGACCCCTGCCAGATGGTTTGATAGCCAGTTTCTGTTAAGCTAGTCAAATCTTAGTTCATACCTGGTTCCTCTACTTTCTAGCCATGCAATATATTTTTCCTTATCTGTAAATAAAACCATGTACCTCCCAGGATTCCCTTGCTTGAAAGTTTATCGTGGTCTATTCACATTGCAGCTAGGGTCCTCCACTAAAAGAAAAGGAAGAGCTTAGGATGAGACAGCCAAGGGGTGGCCAAGTACTTAAGGCCTCAAAGAATTGCAAAATGTTTTGGTGATTGTGTGAGGATAGAAACCTTCGCTGAGGCTTCATCCTGAGCTCATTTCCCTGGTTCCAGCATGCAGGGCCGGGAGGATTTTTAATAACAGTCACTCAGGTTCATTTCATAAATGAAGAAGCTAATACTCTGTGAGATGAAGTAACTCTCCCCACCCATGGTCACCCAGCTGGTCAGTGGCAGAGCTAGAATTTGAACCCAGACTAGTATAACTTGAAAGCTCGAGATTGTCCCATCACACAGCACAACCTTGTAACGGAGCCTGGACACGCTGGCTGAGAGTCAGGCTTGCAACAGGCTTAGGGACCTCCAGAATGGAGGGTGGAGAGAGTGGGAGGAGGGGAGGGAAGGGGCGGGGTCCCTGGGCTCTGTTCCTCGACAGCCACCTGTTCCCACCCCCAGGCACACAGTGTCTGACTGCCTGCGCTTTGTGGTTGGGGGAAGTGGGGACTTTTTCCCTCTTTTGTGTCTTGAGCGGTTTTCCCCCCAGCTTTGCTCTTCCTTGCTCTCTCTCCCTGTTCCTTTTTGTGGATAATACTCCCACAGGCCTCCCACGGCAGCTCCAAAATGCAGCCTCCTGAGTTTCTTCTTGTTGACAAAGGGTTGGAGCTGTCTCTGAACAGGGCTCCCCCTCAACCTTCCCCTCCCCATGATGCCCCCCATACCCTCTCAATGAGTCAGAAGTTGGGTGAAGGGGTGAGGAAAAGGAGATCACAGTGAGGAGGACAGTGGTCCCCGACCTCCCAGTGCCCTGTTCAATTTTCAGCTCCCCCCATCTACTGTCTCCTGAACGTGGGTCCCTGCCCCTAGTGTGTGTATGTGCACATGTGTGTTGGGGGTTGGGAGGGAGATGGAAGGAAAAGGTAGGGGATTAATCACTAAAAGCTGAGGAAACCTACACAAACAAACATCAGCCAGGTTTGGCAGGAAGATCTGAGGGACTAGGTAAAGGTGAAGAGAGGAGAGTGGGCCGAGACCCCACACTTGAAAGGCCAGACCAAGGGAAAGGGTCAGGGGCTGCACCTTACCCCATATATGCATTCACACAAATTCTTTGAGGGGCAATGGGATGAGGCGTTTTAATGCCAAGATAGACTGCTGTTTCACACTGAGATTAGAAGAGTGATCCTAACATTCAGTAAATATTAGTGTATTTTCTTCTCCTGGAAGTGGGGACCAGGGGACCAAAACAGGGACACAGGCATTGTGCCTGGAGCTGCTAGCGGAGGCAGTGCATCTTAGACAAGGTACTTAACCTCTCTGCCTCAATTTTTTCCTCTGTAAATTGGCAGTTATAACAGTAACTACCTTAGGATTATTATGAAGATTAATGAGGTAATCCAAGTGAAGCACCTAGCACAGTGCCTGGCACAGTCAATGCTCAATAAATGTAAGCTACTGGAATGCTAGGGCCACCTCACACATTCCATCCACCCTCTGCTCACCCTAACCCATGCTATCTGGTTTGGCTTAATGCCCCAAACCAGCCCCAGCAGGTGAGCTGGAAACCTGAAAGTGTGAACACTTTGGCCTTACAGGGGTGACTCGAGGACCACCTGGACCTGATGCACAACCCCAGACGACCAGTCCTCTGAGTACCCGCACAGCTAGCCTGGGGCTCTTTCTGGGGCCTCACAGTGAGAGACAGCCATGCTGAAGGGAGGCAGACTCTGGACTGGGGTTGGGAGATTGTTGGGGTTGGAACCCCGACTCTGCCATTTACCAGTGTGTTACCTTGAGCGGATCTCTTCCTCTCTCTCCCTCTGCTTCTGTCTCCTCTGTGAAATGGAGTGTAAGTAGCATCTACCCTGGCTATTTCCCAGATCTCTTATGAGACTCAAAATCAGATAATAATAAACATTTACATGATGCAGGTGCCACACACTGTTCTGGGTCCTTTACACATGTTCACTTATTTAATCTTCATAACAACAATGAGGTTATCATCCCCACTTTACAGATGAGAAAACTGAGTCGGGGAATGGTTAATAACTCGCCTTTAAAATCACATAAACAGCAGGCAGCCTGATTCCCAGGTAGGTGGGTGCTTTCAACCGCAGCCTCTCACCCCGTCTCAAAGCGAGTGGCCTCCTAAACGCCCCTCTCAGCAGAAAGCTCATCGTCGCCTGGTGGGGAATATGAGCGGCTGGGGAAGGGTGTTACTCCGAGGTAGGGAGCAGGCTCTGCGGACTTCTTTGGGTCACTCCTATTGTTGGGAGCCAGATTCCAGGCTTCACAGGACTGGGGGAGGGGAGCGCTTTCTCCCTTTCTTTCCAAAGCACCAGTTCATTTAAATACAGGTGCCTTGGGCTTTGGTCCTCGTCACTGGTGAGGGGTAGGTGGAGCGGGGGACACTCCTTTCTTTCCGAAGCTGGCGACTGAGGGTGCGTCTCCTGGAGGGGTGGGGGCGCTGAGCCTCCGCTTCATTCGCTCGGGAACAAATTGCTGTTTTGGCCCCGGCGGCTCCTCTGGGCGCGGGCGGCAGCCGCGCTAGCTGGCGAATCGTGGGAGGGAGGAGGAGCGGCGCTGGCAGGCGAGGCCCGGGGACCGCCGCAGCGCGGGTCGGGACAAGGAACGGCTGCCCGGGCCGGCTCCGCCCCGCCCCGCCCCGCGGGCCCCCCCCCCCCCGCCCGGCCCCCCCCCTTTATGCGCTCGGGAACAGTTTGCTGTTTTGCCCCCGCCGGCCCCTCTGGGCGCGGGCGGCAGCCGCGCTAGCTGGCGAATCGTGGGAGGGAGGAGGAGCGGCGCTGGCAGGCGAGGCCCGGGGACCGCCGCAGCGCGGGTCGGGACAAGGAACGGCTGCCCGGGCCGGCTCCGCCCCGCCCCGCCCCGCGGGCCCCCCCCCCCCCGCCCGGCCCCCCCCCTTTATGCGCTCGGGAACAGTTTGCTGTTTTGCCCCCGCCGGCCCCTCTGGGCGCGGGCGGCAGCCGCGCTAGCTGGCGAATCGTGGGAGGGAGGAGGAGCGGCGCTGGCAGGCGAGGCCCGGGGACCGCCGCAGCGCGGGTCGGGACAAGGAACGGCTGCCCGGGCCGGCTCCGCCCCGCCCCGCCCTGCGGGCCCCTCCTCCCCAGCAGGAGGCTCTCTGCGGCCACCCCAACCCCGGCAGCTCGCCTTTCCGCGCACGGCCGAGCTCTCTAGGACTGAAAGCGGGTAGGGAGCGTGGCCCGGTCCTTCTAGCCCCCCGCTTGCACGGACCCACACTCACAAGGTTACGAAGTTTTTCCCAGTGTCTGACCTCTGTTGGTCCCCTGTATTTGCATCCCGACCCTCTAGCGCGGTCTGGGACCGACAAGAGGTGACAAATACGAGAAATAGAGTGACGAAGCAAAGGATCTAGGGCTTTCCTCCGCACCACATGTCCTTTCCACCTCCGGGGCCACACGGATGGCGTCTGACCCTTGCTCCCAGGGTAGCCACCCTCCAATTTCCTGACAGCTCCTGCCTGCAGCGGCATCTTCTAGTAAGAGCTCGATCCGTTTTCCAGAGGGTCAAGTTGAGGCTGAGAAAACATTGACTGCCCAGAAGCTGAGTTTAGCAACCCCTGCCCCCCACACCCTTCCTCCCCGTGCAGCCGGAGCCCATCTTAGGGGCCCCGGGCCTTCACCTCCGCCTGGCCGCCCAGTCTCCTTTCTCATTACGTTTTTCCTCGGGAAAGGCATCTTCTACAACGCACAGCCCCCGCCCCGGGCGCTCCTCGCGTCCCTCCGGAGGAGGGGAGGCTGCTAGCAGGCTCCCTGAGAACCCCCGGGCTGCAGAGAAAGAAGCCTCCCCCCTGCGCCTGAGGCTGAGTCAGCCGGAGCGGACCAGGCGCTCGCCCGTTGTTGGCGGGTCGGCCGGGGCGGCCCGAGTGACGGGGGTAGGGGAGGCGGCGGCCCTCACCGAGGTCCCGAGGGGAGGGGGATCCCTCGGCGGGAGGTCTGTCCCTTTAAGGAGGCGGCCCTGACTGGGTGTGCCCCGTCTCCATGGTTACCCCGGTGCAGGCTGCGGGCGCGGGAGGTGGGCAGGGAGGCTGCCGCTTCTCCCCGACAGACGGAGGGAGCTGCAGGGACCCGGCGCCGAGCGGAGACCTAGCGGGAGTGGACCCGCAGCTGAAACGGGAGCCGCCGCCGCGGGCGGGAGGTGCCGAGAGCGCAGCGGCAGCCGAGCCTGGAACCCGGGATTCGTGGGCGGCGAGGGCGCGAGGGGCCTCGCGCCATGCTCCGGGCCCCGACGGCACGGACGCCCCCTCG